CCAAACTTACTGAAACTGGTTGTTGTTTGATGACTTCAGTCTAAACCTGAATACTCCGTCGGTTGTAGAATCGTCTCCCTATAAATATTTAATTCTCTGTGAATTAAAGCCGATCATTCTTTAATAAGATCCTCGTTAAACAGACAAGAAATTTTATTTAAAGCTAATGTTTGACGTGGACCCAGATTTTTTTGTTCTTTTATGCACAAAAATATGACAAAAATTCAACTAAATCAGGAAGTAAAACGGCGTGATTGTCTGGAAGGAGAGCGGAGACAGGAAATGCGTTTTACTGAGGCTATGCTGAGCTGACAGAACACCGGAGGTTCTGATTGGTTGGATCGGACTGGAACCTGAAACCGTCTTATTGTTTCCTCAGTGCCTTCGAGCCATGCTGAAGCTGATGTCAGAGTGCTGGGCCCAGAACCCCGCCTCCCGCCTCACCATCCTCAGAGTGAAGAAGACGCTCGCCAAGATGGTGGAGTCCCAGGACATGAAGATCTGAAGAAGATCCTCCTCCTCCTCTTCCTCCCTCCGGATTCACCCGACTCACTCCACCTGGACCGGATCAGACCGGACTGAACCGCTTCTCCCAGGCTGCCTGCTGCACATGGAGGAGGAAGAGGAGGAGAAACTGGGAGGATCTTCCTCACAGCAGAACTGTCCTCCTCCTCCTCTTCCTCCTCCTGGTTCTTCATCCAGAGGCGGCGGAGCTCGACGCTTTCTGTGAAAGCCAAACTAGCCGCTGAGCGGAGAGAAGCAGGCCAGTTTCTTTCTTCTTCTTCTTCTTCTCCTCTCCAGGACGGAGCTCTTCCTCCACGTCTTCCAGAAGCTTCTCCCTGAACTGCAGAAGCTCCTCTGATCATCTGAGAACTGAGAGCTTCACCTGGAGCTCAGTGGAGTCCAGGAGACGCCTGCCGTCCTCTTCCTGTCCGTCTACTTCCTGTCCGTCTGTCTCAGTCAGATCCGGTGGTCTTTTAAGGGGGCGGGGCTATACGTGAGGCTCCACCCGTTTTCTGCTGAAAGCAGGAAGTGACATGAGTTTAAGAACAATGTGAGCAAAGAATCCTGCAGGTTAGCATCACAACGTGTGATGGACTGAATCCGCAGCAGAACCTGGAGTTCTGATGAAGACGTCAGGAATGTTGGATCCTTCATCCTGGTTCAGAACGGCGACGCCATGTTTGACAGAGAAAATCAAAACACTCCAGAAGGTTTCAGCTTGATGCTCTGATCAGAAAACAAACTGAAGCGGTTCTGATCTGCTGCAACTCGGCTAACGGTTTCCCTCCACTTCCAGTCTTTGTGCTAAGCTAAGCTAACAGCTCCCTGAAGCTGAAAAGGTGGGACTGTTCCTTTAAACGGGACGCCGCGCACGCCGCGGCTCTGCGCGCACGTTTCCTGTGTCCAAATAAAAGGCCAGAAGAGGAAGAAGTTCTGATGTGGAAACGTTCATGTCGTTCTCATGTTGGACGGCTTCTGGTTTAAAAAGAAAATAAAAACTGTTCATTCTGTCCAAGTAGCAGTTTGGAAGTAAAGAAGCTTCTTTTAGTCAAACTCAGCGTCGCCTCTTCTTTCATCATCAGCGGGTTTTTAAAGGAACAAAGAAGCAGGAATATTACTTCTCTGATTTGTTTTTACTTCTGATTTAATTTTATTTTTATTTCAGTCACTTCATTTGCTTTTTTTTAACATTGTTTCATGAATAACTTCATTTTTGTCATTTATAGGAGTGAAAAGGAGCACAAAGAAGATAAAGCTTATATGTGCCTGTTTCCCCAAACACAAAACTAATTATAAAATCTGGTCTGATGCGCAAAATAACTTCAGTCAGGTCATGTTTTAACAAATACAAAAAAAATCAAAAAGTTACATATTTTACAGCAGCGTATAAGATTTAACTGTTATCCTTTTAAATTATTTGTAATTAGCAGCAGATTTATTTAACTAAAGAAGAAAATCGGACATTCTAAAACATTTCAGAAAGAAGTCAAAAGTTTTACTGTAAATAAGAACTTTATTTAAGTCATTTGGTTGTTAAAAAAAAATATTGAAACAAACTTTTATGGAAATATGAGCAGAACAGAATGAAGGAGAAAAAAATCAGTTTATTGAACAATAATCCACATTAATTAGAAATGCAGTAAATGTTTAACGGGAAGATTAAACATTTGAATCTAAAGACTATTTCAAAAATGTCTAACAGTTGTTTAAAAAAAGACTTTATTATTATTTACAGGCGCAGGTTCAAAGTACAGCTCTACTAACACTGAAGACAATTAATTGATAGAATAAATACTAATCATGATTAATTGAAGAAACCTAGAAATGATGTAAAACAAACGAATTTCAATCGTACAACAGAATGTTCAATTGCAGAAAAATATATTCATAAATAGTGAAAAAGGCAATAATATCCACTTTATGCTCACATGGATGGAAACGGATAAAAATGTCAGATTTGCAGTAATAAAAATGTCTGTCCCTGACCTCTATGATCATCTGGAAATAGATTCTCTCTGCTCTGACCTTTCATTGCTGCACCCAGTTCTAATGATCCAGCACTAGTTTCCTCTAAGCAACTTTATCTGTATAGTGCTTTTTCAGGGCTGTCAGCTCTCACCCATCGGGTTTCTCCAATTTTTCACACAAAAAAAAATGACATTAAAACGTAACTCCATTCCACTTATTTATATGTAAAATACCACGGCGATAATCCAGTCCGGTTCAGATCCGGTCCGTGTTTTGGCACCAGCCCACCTTTTCACTGTGCTGAGGGACCTGATTTCTGAGCAGTTATTACAAGATTTTAATTTGATCTTATTTTATCTGGACTAGGTTAATTCACTTTGTAAATTAATAAAGATTTTGAGCAATCTAACACTTGACAAAATGTGAATAAAATATACAGCATTTAGCTTAAATCATCACTGTGGAGACTGAAGTATAGGATCAGATCATAAGGTTTGTTTTCTCTATACCTGGTGCTTTTTTATTGAGGTTTACTTCCTGTTTGCTCTAATTTATCCTCCTGATTTAGTCCCAGTTATAGTCCAAGTTAAATAATTATTGCTCAGTCTAGTTTAATAATCTCCCGTTGGATTTTAGGACTAATTAAACCAGCACTAAACTAAACTAAATTCTTAAAGCTTTCAGGTATTCCTAACAAACCCATATGAGGACCACTAAAAGCAAAAGAATGATTGCATTTTATTTTTTAAAAGATCAGCCACCCAAGAACAGACCAACCGCATGTAGAGAGGATGTGCAGAACAGCTCAATAATCCAGGATTGATAGAAGAGGAACCAGAGGGATGCTCTCATTTTATTATTACTTATCTTATTCACTTATTCTTATTTTTGGTCCATTAATTATGTTTAAAAGCTTAATTTCCATCACATCTACCAAAATCAAACATCCACAGAAGTGCTGTCTCCTGTCATGGAGAGTTTTTATAGAATCTACAGCCTCCTAGAAGCTCTGAAGTATTTAACTATTTTATTAATTGTAAAAAATAAGATATTAAGTTTTTTCAATTTTTTCGTTTTAATCCTTAGCCTATTACCAATTATTCATAAAAAATGTGTAGTTTGCACAGGATTTGATTTCAAAAGTTTCTGTATTAGTTCCAGTAATTCAATAATAACTTATTAGTTCCCCATTGGTTATGTTACTGAGAACTGCATAGAATAATTAATAAATAAAGTTGTGAAATTCTTAGTTTACAGTATATTTAAGATGCAAGTATTTTAGTAGGAGTCATTATTCTTCACTTCAGTTCTATAAAAATCACCAGAATATAGAAAATTATGTAGATTGTGTGAAAAGTTTTCCTCAGTTTCATTGACTTTGCTATAAAAATTCAACATTTTACAACTTTGTTTCAGTTAAATCCTCTGAAAAACCTCCAACCTATAGCTGCGCCTGTCCTCATCAGGGCTGCAGGTCCAAATTATTTCAAAATCTCCCTCCAAGGTTTGGTGAAAAGTTGGCAGCCCTGCAGACACGGAGTCACAAGGCGCTTCACAGAGATTAAAACATAAGAACATAAAAAGATAGAGATTTAACGGATGCTAGCTGAGAAAATATGTACCAATGCAGCTTTCTAATGGGTAAAATTTAGAAAAATAAATTGCATTGCTGCTCAACGGATAAGACCTTTGGAGATAGATTAGTCCCGCTAGAGTCCTTTTTTTTTATTTTTATCTTTTTTTTAGGAAAAGCAGCTTCTTAAAAAGTTTATTTTGAGCTAAAGTGTAATTTATAAAACTCAGCAAACTTTATTTCAGTTATTTCATCCATGATTACTGCTTCAAGCTGCAGCCATGTGATCACCAGGAAGTGACATCATACTGCCCTCTGCAGCCTCCTTATTGCACTGCATGTGATTTAAACACTGAGCATGAAGTATTTGGGAGACCCAGCAGTATTTATCAGTCCTAAAATACATAGCAGCATATTTTTATAAATTGCGTTGATTATGTTAAAAAGTCACATCAAAAGTTTTAGTCCAATGATCGCAAGAAAAAGTAACCCAAGATTTTAATAAGATCTGATTCATGAATAAAAGGAGAAAAAAAATAGAAACATCCTGATATGCAGTTTAGAGCTTTAACTGGAAACAAGTAAAAAATGTATTTGGATTTTGAATTATTCCCAGCTTTGATCATGAAAGGACTGGGAGAGAAAGAAGTTCCCAAGAAATCATTTAGAAGAGTTTTAAAAAGAAAATAATAGATTACATGTTTGTACATGAGGGAAGTATTAACTCAGCACAAAATCACTGAGGAGCCAGAACTGGACCACCAGAGCCCAAACCCAGGATACAGAGGTTCAGTGAATGTGGTGTAGAAGGTGTAGAGGCGGGTCAGAGAGTCAGAGGAGACACTGTAGAAGGACAGAAAACCAGCAGGATGGTTTACATACACTCCTACTCTGTTAGAAGAGGTGGAAAAGGGATAGAAGGAGGGAGGGTCGATACGTGTTTCTCTGTTATTGTGCCAGACCGAGTAACCACCATCAGAGCAGCTCAGATTCCATGAATGATCACTTCTTCCAAACCAACAGTCTCTGCTGTCTCCTTTCCTCCTGATTCTTCCGTAACTCACTGATATGTCGACTCCTCCTTTCCACTCAACCTCCCAGTAATGCCGACCAGTCAGACCAGTTCTACACAGCAGCTGAGGCCAGTTATCAAATCTGTCTGGATGATCAGGATATGACTGAAGCTCCTGCACATAGGTCACCTTCCTGTTGTCCTCAGACAGTTGTAGTCTTCTGTTCACTGTGTTTGGTTCGATGTCGATCTGACAGGAATCTGATGGAGAGAAAAAACACAATCACACTTTGATAAGGAATCCTGAATGATTGATGGACAGTTTGAAGATGGTTGGATATGAGCTGCTTTGCTGTCAGGAATCCACTGAAAAACTAACTTACATTTCGTAGTATCAGGTGTCAACCATTGTTCTCCAAAAGGCTCCACCCTGAAAGGAGGAGGAGGTCAGACCATCAGTCTCTTTCAGCACTTCTAGTATTTATGAGTCCAGTTCAGCTTAGTTTTCTTCATTCACTGTAGTTCCACCACTCACTGTAGAGTTTGAAAATAGCTGAGTTGCAAGAAGGAAATTGTGTTAAAATATTCATTTGCAATGAACTACAGGGGGGAATGTAGAATATAAATATCTGGCTGGCTTGCCAAACATGGAAGCAGTTGTACTGCGTTATGTAGTCCTATTTCCGACCTTATGCTCACTTGGTAACACAGAGAATACAGCATGTAGACAGGGTGTCTACATGCTGGAAGTCACATACAAATCTTGGCAAAAACAGGGTTCTTACTGGCTGACTCGCACGCAATCAGGTCATAAGCTAAGAGATTTCCAGGAAGAGCGTCCAGTCGTGCACGTGCATCCACACAGTGCGATGTGGAGCCTATAAATGCAGCCTGAAATGGAATGAAGGGGGGGGGGGGATAACTGAGATGTGACGATGTAGCGCTGAATGTATGAAGTGTTTAAGACAGCTGTATGAATTCGGTTTTGTAATTAAATGTTTCCCCCCTCCAGATGATAAAATTGTGAGAATTGTGGCCTTCTTTCTGTCATAAGGGAATTCTACCTATGAGCTTCCACAGTGGCCAGTTCAACTTAGTTTTTTAAGAGAGCTGCTTTGGACCTTTGTGATACAGCATTGCTGAAGAATCCGCATTATCAAAGCCCTGACAGCCCCCCCCACCCCCGGCCAATGTTCACTGTGGCTGAGACTAAGCCTTTTGTTCCATTTTTCAACTGGTGTCTGAACTGGCCAAATAGAGATCTGTGCTTAAAGAGGACATTTCCACTTTGATTCTCGAGTTACTTAAACCTCTCCAAGGCAGCAGGACAATAAAAGCCAACATATTCTGCCGGCAGGTTTCTACATTTGAAGTTAATTTAGGTGTTAATAAACTGTTTCAGAGGAGTGATCATAGCGCTCTGCATCAGCAGTGCTGCGTCTGACTCCCTGCCAGCTCCCAGATCAGCTTCTCTCATTGGTTGATGTGGCGCGTCCAACA